AACTCTGGGAACCTGGATGTCTTTTCTCTCTTTTTTTAGCTAAAAGGAGAAGAATTCTAGCCTGAGGGTGAGGACAAAACCCTGCAGGTTAAACAGAAGAGGCTGGACAGCGGAGGTGGGGGCAGGGACTCTAACTAGAGGTCTGGGTCACACCGAGACGCCTGCAGGAAGGGCTGTTATGTACAACTCGCTACATGGGTTTTGTGAGGAGCAGAAGGCTAACACAGCTCTGGAGAACAGGCTGCCTCTGTCATGACTGCGCTACACACCAGGGGGGTTGGAGCGCAGCCTCTTAGCCCATCCGCACAGATGAAAGAACCCAGTTCTCCTTCTCAGCCACCATGGCCCCATCCTGCAGAAAAGGGACGAAAGTGGGAACAAGCTGGATCGGGACAGAGGGAGAAAGTCCCCTCCCCCACCAAAAAATTACCAAAAAGAGGATCAAGAGTGGGATGGTGGGAGTCTCTTGGTAGGAAGGAGGGGGGGCAAAAGAGAAATCAGGGGGGCAAGGTCACCTTCCAGTTGACTCTGGGCAACCACCATTACCTGCTCCAGTCTCTCCCAGTTGGGTTGCATGGTGTGACCCCAATAGGTAGTCCCGGTTGAGTCTGGAGAAAGAGGGAAGTTTCTTCAAGGGGGAGATTTTCATTTCCATGGGGGTGGGCTGGGGATCGTGAATGCAGCATCCTGTGAAGTCCCTCTGGGAGAAACTGACCAGGAGCCCTGTGGTGTCCCAAAGTCAATGGCCTCGATTTCCTTATGATTTCAGGCCAATTTCCCCAGAAAGAGGAGGTTATGCTTGGAGTGTCTCCCCCCCTTCAGCCTTTCAAGGGACCCCCCAATTTTCTCCCCAGGGAGCCCAACCCCCTCCCTGCCTTGGAGTCCATGCAGGGCATAAAGGTGGGGGGCTCCGCTTGCCATTTCCCCCCCTCCCCTCCCCATCCAGCCCTTCGCTCCTTTTAATGGAAGGGGGCTGGCGCTCCTCCTCCTCCCTTCCTTTTCTGAGGGGTTGCCCCGGCCATCTTTCTCCTCCTCCTCCTCCTCGTTCTCAATGCCGGACGACCCAGACACCCCACACCCCACCCCCGGACGTCTAGTGTCTCAAGAGGACAAGGGTGAAGGGAGGCGACTCTGAGTCCGTCTGCAGGCTCTGGCTCCTCCCAGGGAAGAAGACCCAATGAGAACTTGCTTCTCTCGCGCGTCACCCGTTGCTGGGCGGAAACCCTCCAGGTCTGGTCCCCTTGAGCGTCGCCCTGACGTATTATGGCGTCTATGAGGGGGGTTGCCTGGCAACCCAGCGACGCACAGGGGTGAGGTTCTGGCTCCACCCATAAGAAAATGGAGACCCAATGAGAGCTCGCTCCTCCTCCTGCTCCTTACGGGTCACCTGTCTCCGGGGAGAAGCCCATCCCTCTGGAAGGCTGGCTGGGCAAGAACGGCCGTTTTCCCCACCCACCCCCTTTCTTCCCCGTCCAGTGACTGACTGGCTGCCCTCCAAGCCCACCCGCGGCTCGTCTGTGCGCATGCCCGAGATCCCCTCAGTGGCTGTTCCGCTCGCTCTCCCTCCCGCGCATGCGTTCCTCTTCCCCACAGAGGGGCCGTGGGTTAGCCAGTTGGAGGGGAGGCTTATAAGCTAAAAAGATGTAGAGGAGCGCCTCTCCCGGGGAACGGAAGCGGAAACCGGGCTCCTGCCGTCCTCTCTGTGTCTCCCACCTCTATAGTCTTCCTCGCCCATTTCTCACCAGAGGACTTGGAAGGAGGCGGGGTAGGTCGGTAGGTGTGTGTGTGGGGGGGGGGGGAGGCGGGGTAGGTCGGTAGGTGTGGGGGTGGGTTGGAAGAGATTTCCAAAAATGAACATTAGGGGACCCTCCCCCCTTCCCAAAGGACAGCGGGGGGGGGAAGGGTCTCTTTTCCAGGCTATCCGGTGGAAAAAGCGCAGCAAAGGCGACCCCCCCATTTGCTCCGCCTGGAAGGAAGGAAGGAAAGAAGGACCCTCGTTTCAACCCCCCCTTTTCCTCCTCCTCTTCCTCGCGGGGTGGGGGCCTTCAGGGGGAAGAGAAGATAGGGAGGGTTTTTTGTTTTTTTCTTGCCTAGAGACCCCCGCCCTTGCCTTCCTTCCTTCCTTGGAGGGGGGGGGTTGCAAAGTGAAGAAGAAGGGGCCACTTGGTCTCCCCCCTTTGGTCTCTTCCCCCCTCCTTGCCTTCCCCAGAAAAAGGGCCCCCCAAGGGTCCCTGTGTAAGAGTGAGTTGTGTTGTAGGTGGGTGGGTGGGATTCCACACATGAACACTAGCTCTTCGTCCCCCACTCCCCAGGGAGGGTCCCCCACGCACAATGGGGGGGGATAAGCGCAGCAAAGCCCCCTTCCCTGTTGCTCATGAAGGAGGGAAAGAAGGACGCCCTTTCCCTCTTTCTTGGGGTGTGTGTGTCATGATCCCACCCTGGTGAGGGGGGGACAAGAAAGCTCGCCAGAATCCCCTCCATGCCTTGTGTGTGTGCTTGTGCAGGGAATCATCTTGGGGGGGAGGTTGGTGGTTGTTTTTTTCCCTCCTAGATAGACACTCCCTCCTTTCCCTTTTTTGCTTCCTTCCTTTCTTGGGGAGGGGGTTTCCAAAGGGAAGGAGAGGCGGGGACTGGGTCTCTTCCCCCCTTTATTCTCTCCCCCTCTCGGTCTTCCCTGCCCCTACCCTCTTTTCTTCCTCCTCCAGAAAAAGCGCAATTATATGTGAATCCATGAACCCCATTTTAGCAGTTTTCATCTTTTCCATCTTTTCATGTTTTCATATATTTAATTGCATTTTAAATCATATATTGTTTAATTTGTCTTTTAATATTTTAACTTACTGTGCCCTGATGGTTCCCTTTTCCCCAAGAAGACCAAGGGCAGGACTCTTAATTATTATTCTTAATAATTATTACCTCTCCCCCTTCCTCTTCTGTCACCCCCCTTCAGGAAACCCTTAAGTGGGGGTGGGAAGGAGGGGACCATAGAGCTAGGAACGAGGTAGAGGAGCGCCTCTCCTAGGAGGACCGGAAGCGGAAGCCAGGCGCATGCCGTCCTCTCTCTGTCTCTCCCACCTCTATGGTCTTCCTCACCCATTTCTCACCAGAGGGTCAGTAGGTGTTTGCGCGTCTGAGTGTGTTTGTAAGGTAAGTTGAAGCGGAAGCCAGGCGCATGCCGTCCTCTCTCTGTCTCTCCCACCTCTATGGTCTTCCTCACCCATTTCTCACCAGAGGGTCAGTAGGTGTTTGCGCGTCTGAGTGTGTTTGTAAGTTGTGGTTTGGGGGGGATTTCCAAAAATGAACATTGGGGCTCCCCAGGGACCACGTGGAGGGGGTGTCAGAGGGAGGGAGGCCATCCGGTGGAAAAAGCCAAACGCGGCTGGAGGGAAAGAAAGGACCTTTGTGTCTCCCTGACCTTTTTATTCCTCCTCCTCTTCCTCCTCTTTCTCGGGGAGCAGGGGGAGGTTGCTTCAGGGGGTGGGAGAAGGGGGGAGAGACCCTAACCCTGCCCCCCAGAGCTCAACATGGTCTCCTCCCTTCTCCTTGCCTCCCCAAGGGAGGAACCTCCCTCCCCTCTAAGCTCAGCAACCCCTCCTCCCCTTTTGGCCCAAAGGATTCCTCCAAAATGGATCAGCGGCTACTCTGGCAATCTAACACATGGCTTATGAAAAGATTGTAAAGCAAATTTTCCTGATCTCCCCCCCTTCTCTCTCTCTCTTTCACACTCACTCACTCACACTCACACTCACACACCCTTTGTTGTAGAATGACGGAGGCAGAGAGGCACGTAGGAGAAGAGCCAGCCAGGGAAAAGGGAGGTCAGGCCCTTCATCCCCCCCTTTGACCCTTTCCTGGCTCATTGGCTGGCTGGCTGCCCCCATCTCTGTGAGTCCATTACAAATATCTTGACACCCCACCTAAATAAAGTTTTGAACATTCCTGTTCTACTTGACAAAATTACATGTCTTCCTTCTAGAAGAGGGATATTCAGCAATAGTATTTTGTACATATGTATTTGGTTCTGCCTTTTACACTTGTATTCTCAAATAAACTGATACATGCCATGTTATCCATAAAAATAGGCCCAGGCTCAGTTACATTAACATTTAAATCTTTTAAGTTTGAGCCACACTAGTTCTTTAGTTAATTCATGCAAATGACAATTTTCTGCTTCTGTGTCACTAGTAGAAATTCCTGTTTGTTTCCTGGACGTCCACATCACACAAGCCTCCCCCGGATAAACTGCTAAACCACAAATTGCCTTTCTCTCTGCCGGATCAGTTGCCCAGTCAGCATCTGCATATGCTTTTAATTCAAGACACCTTCCAACCTTTAGGTTTAGCTTGTGATCTACATTGCCCTTTATATACCTCACTAACCTTTTTACTCCATTCCAATCGTTGACTTTTGGCTTCACACACTTCTGACTTAAGATGTTAACACTATCAGCGATATCAGGTCTTGTCCACACTGATAAATATTGTATAACAAAGACCCTATCACTGATTGATACAAGGTAATGTTTTCAAAATCTCCTGTATCATTATCTTTATAGAAGTCGGTCACTACAGGAGTAGAAACTTTGTTTGCTCCAGACTTGTTACATTGCTTAAGCAAACTTTCTATTTCATCTTTTTGACTTAGAACAAAATGGCCTTGTTCATCCTTGCTCACATGAACCCGTAGGTAATTTTGAATTTCTCCTAGATACTTCATTTTAAAGTGTTTGTTCACGGTTTTTTGAAACCACTCTACCTGGCTTTTGTTCTGCACAATTAGACACAGAATGTCTACAAAAGCTAGCAGATACATTACTTGGTTTCCTTTTCCTTTACGATAGACGCAAGAATCAGCAATGCTGTTAACAAAACCTAGCTGTTTTACAGTGGTGCCTCGACTTACGACTGTCCCAACTTGCGACTGAGTTACGACCAGCTCCGGTCACAAAATTTTGCTTTCAGTTGCAACTGGGGCTTTGAGATACGACCGGAAAAAAGGCAGGGAAATCTGAACTGCTTTCCCTCCTTTTCTCCTTCAGCTAACTGTTGGTTGGAAAAAATGCTGCTTCTTTGTAGCTCCTTCGCCCCAGTGATTAGAGAGTGTGCGTTCTGAGAGAGGCTTTGGACTGCCTGGTACTTCTTTTATTTTTGCTTTTTGACTTTCTTTTTTAAACGGGGAGACTGCCTGTTCTGGTGAGTACTGGGGTTTTGCAGCATGGGTTTGGGCTGGGTGGGAGTTTGCTGGAATTGTGTGGGTTTTTTTGGCTGCTCAGGTTTTGGCTGGGCAAGGGGTTATGTTTCTGTGCTTTGATGGGTCCTGCTGTGTGTGTTTTTAGTGGGGGGTTTTGGGGCCAGAATGAATTAATCGCATTTCAGTGTATTAATATGGGAAATAGTGCTTTGAGTTACAGTGGGCCCTCTACTTACGAACTTAATCCGTTCCAGAAGGACGTTCGTAAGCAGGAAAGTTCATAACTAGAAAAAGCATTTCCTATAGGAATGCAATGAAAAACAATTAATCCGTTCTGGATTTAAACCATCCCTGTGCAGACATCTCGCCTACCTTTGAGCTGGTCTCTTGCAGCCCAAGGGAGACATGAATGGCACGCCGCCACCAGCTCCGAGGCATGCGCGGAATCCTTGGAGCAGGTGGGCGCGCGCGCTCACCAACCAGCCAGCAATGAAGCAACCGAGCAATCCAGGGAGGGGGGGTTGCCTTTGGCAGCTGTCGCGCCATGCTCCACGGAGCTCAGGGCAGCGCGATGGGCCGAGCAGCCACAGGCGGGGGAGGGAGCTCCTACTGCTCCTCCACACCCTCCCTCCGCCCTGATCTTCCTGGGTTTTCGCGCATAGCTCAGGGCAGCGCGACGGGCCGAGCAGCTACAGGCGGGGGAGGGAACTCCTACTGCTCCTCCACGCCCTCCCTCCACCCCAATCTTCCTGGGTTTTCACACGTAGCTCAGGGCAGCACGACAGGCCGAGCAGCTACAGGCGGGGGAGGGAGCTCCTACTGCTTCTCCACGCCCTCCCTCCGACCTGATCTTCCCGGGCTTTTGCGCATAGCTCAGGGCAGCGCGACGGCCAAGCAGCCACAGGTGGGGGAGGGAGCTGCTACTGCTCCTCCATGCCCTCCCTCCACCCTGATCTTCCTGGGCTTTTGCCCATAGCTCAGGGCAGTGCGACGGGCTGAGCAGCCACAGGTGGGGGAGGGAGCTCCTACTGCTCCTCCATGCCCTCCCTCCACCCCAATCCTCCTGGGTCCCTGCCGCCACGATTGGCAGCTTCTGAGCTCCCGACACGGGAGGAAGTCCTTTGAAAGCTCCAAAGGCAGGGAGGAAGGGCAGGAAATTTGAATTTCCCACCCTTTTCCCCTGCCTTTTGGGTTCATAACCCGATCTACGTTTGCAAGTAGGTCCTACTACTTGCGATGAGACCGGGTTCGTAACCCGAAATGTTCGTAACTAGGGCCGTTCGTAAGTGGAGGGCCCACTGTACAACCAACTTGAGTTACGACCATCATTCCAGAACAGATTAAGTTTGCAACTCAAGGCACCACTGTAGTCTTTTGTCCAACAACATATTCCAGTATTGTACACTTTGTCTCAAACCATATAAAGTTTTATGCAAGTTTAGCACTAGCTTTGGATTCTCATCTTGAAAGCCTGGAATTTGCTTCATATATATATTTTCAGTCAAGTCAGCATGTAGATATGCAGTCTCTATATCAAAATGATGTACACTATACCCTTTAACACCTCCAACAGTTAAAGTCACTTTAAAGGAGTCACTCTTCATTTTAGGTGACAAAACCTGATCATAATGCACATACTTTTGCTGAATGTAGTCCTGAGTCACAAGATGAGCCTTATATTTAATCTCCTGATTAGTACCCTGTTTGATCGTGTACACCCATCTACAGCCTAAAGGTTTCTCCTCACTAGGCAGTTCTAACAAAAAGAACACGTTGTTGTGGGTTTTTCGGGCTCTGGCCATGTTTTGAAGGTTGTTCTTCCTAACGTTTTGCCAGTCTCTGTGGCCACATGTTTGTTGTGCTCCTTTAATGAATCTATCTCAGCCACCATTGCCTTTCTCCATTTACTTTGCTCTTCAAAAGAGAGTTGCATGACCTTTTCAGAACTCTGAGTTTCTGCTAAGACTAGATTCACATTAGTATCCTGATAATGTTGAGGTGGACCACCCTTGTTGACTCGTTTAGAATGTCTAGGTACTTCAAACTCATCTTGCTTAACTTCTTCCTTCTTTGTTGTTATCTTTATTGTACCTCCCTACCATGAGGGAGAAGTTCCTTTCTTCTTCTTGTCCTCCGCTCTTCCTCAGTAGCATGTTGGACGCCTTCCGACCTGAGGGGCCCATCTTCCAGCGTCATATCTTTTAGCCTTTTGTTTCTGATCATGGGGCGTTCTTGGCAAAGATACTGGAGTGGCATTGCCAGTTCCTACTCCAGGTGGATTG